CCTTATGAGAGTTCTCTTCATTAGGGTAAAGGAATTTGACTGATTTTTGTATGTTAATCTTGTACCCTGCTACTTTGCTGAAACTCTCAATTAATTCCATTCATTTTCTTATTATGTCTTTGGGATTTTCTGTGTATAAGATCATATCACCTGCAAATAGAGATAGTTTTACTTCTTCTTTGCCAACTTGAATGTCTTTTAATTCCCTTCCTTGTCTTATTGCTCTGGGTAGGACTTCCAATACAATATTGAATTTTGTTGTTGTTGAGGTACCGTTGAGTCATCTCTAACTCATAGCGACCTCATGCAGATTGAAACACTGCCCGGTCCTGTGCCAGCACCACAATCCTTGCTATACTTGAGCCCATTGTTGCAGCTACTGTGTCAATCCATCTTATTAAAGGTCTTCCCCTTTTTCATTGTCTCTGCACTTTGCCAAGCATGATATCCTTCTCCAGGTAATGGTTCCTTCTTACAACATGACCAAAGTAGGTGAGATGAAATTTGGCCATTCTCACTTCCAAGGAGCATTCTGGCTGCACTTCTTCCAGGACAGATTTGCTAGTTCTTTTAGCAGGCCATGGTACTTTCAGCATTTTTCGCCAACACCACAATTCAAAAAGCATCTACTCTTCTTCAGTCTTCCTTTTTCATTGTCCAGCTCTCACATGCATATGAGGCAACTGAAAATACCATGACTTGTGTCAAGAGCACCTTAGTCTTCAAGGCAACGTCTTTGCTCTTCAGCATTTGCAAGAAGTCTTTTGCAGCAGATTTGCCCAATGCTATACGATGTTTAATATCTTGATTGCTGCTTCCATTGGTGTTGATTGTAGAACCAAATAATAGGAAGTCTTTGACAATTTCAATCTTTTCTCCATTTATCATGATGCTGCTTATTGGTCCCGCTGTGAGGATTTCTGTTTTCTTTATATTTAGATATAATCCATACTGCAGACTGCAGTCTTCAATCTTCATCAGTAAGTGCTTCAAGTCATCCTCACTCTCAGCGAGCAAGGTTGTGTCGTCTGCATAACATAGGTTGTTAATGATTCTTCCTTCAATCCTGATGCCATGTTCTTCTTCATATAGTCCAGCTTCTCGGATTATTTGATCAGCATACAGATTGAATAAGTATGGTGGAAGGATACAACCCTGATGCACTCCCTTCTTGATTTTAAACCATGCAGTGTCCCCTTGTTCTATTTGAACGACAGCCTCCTGGTCTATGTACAGGTTACTCATGAGCACAATTAATTCCCTTTCTTCTCAATATTGAATAGGAATGGTGATAAAAGGCATCTTTGTCTGGTACTCATTCATAAGGGGAATGTTTTCAGTCTCTCCTCATTTAAAATAATATTGTCCATTGGCTTTATATTATGGTTTTAATCATGTTGAGGAATTTCCCTTCTTTTCCTATTTTGTTCAGTGTTCTTACCAGGAATGGGTGTTAGATTTTATCAAATGCCTTTTCTGCATCAATTGATATGATCATGTGGTTATTTTATTTATGTGGTGGATTATGTTGATTATTTTTCTAATGTTGAACCATCATTGCATACCTTATATGAATCCCTCTAAGTCATTCATTTAAAGAGTTAGGTTCATTTATTTTAATTGTGTTCAATTGTATGTCCCTTTCCCCAATCCTTGTTGATTCAATTTTATTTTTTAACCAAAACTCAAACACTACATGAAAGTTATACACAGAGAGGTGCCACTCAGTCTCTATTCCTTCTACTCTCAAGCTCCACATCCCTTGGAGAGAAGCACCATCATTGTTTTCTGTTAATCCTTCTTCTTGTCCTTTTTTGGGGGGTGGGATAGACACATAGATAAGTATATGCTTTCTTATTTCATTTAAGAATATCTCCTGGAAACTATTCTATATCAGTTTGTAGAAAATTTCCTTTTTTTCTTTTTTTAACATCTGCAAAGTGCTTCATCACTTAATCAGATACCTGTGCCATGCTTGGACATTTAGATGTTGTTGTTGTTGTTGTTATGTGCCATCGAGTCAGACCTGACTCATAGCAACCCCTCCTTGGGTTTCCGAGGCAGTTGTTGTTGTTGTTATGTGCCGTCGAGTCAAACCCGACTCATAGCGACCCCTCCTTGGGTTTCCGAGGCAGTATCACTACAGAAATAGATTGCCCCATCTTCCTTCCGAGGAGTGGCTGGTGGGTTTGAACCGCCAGCCTTCTGGTTAGCAGTCAAATGCCTTTAGGCGCTATTAGATAGCTTTCAAAAGTTTGCAATGGTAAATAATGCTGCTATGAATGATTTTGTGCAAATGTATTTTATATATTGTTGGAGTTGTATCTTCAGGATAAATGCTCAGAAATTGGATTGGTAGGTCAAAGCATAAATGCAAATGAGTTTTGCTGGATACGGCCAAATTCCTCTCCATAGGATTATGCCATTTTACATTCTTACCAGCAATGAAACTAGCCTGTTTCTCACATCCTTGCTGATAGATTGTAATCACACGCTTTTTAATGTCTGCAACCTGATGGGTAAGAATTGGTTTCCCAATGTTGTTTTACTTTGCATTTCTCTTATTATAAGTGAAATTTAACATTCTTTCATACACGTAAGGGCCATTTTTACAGCTCTTTTTGTGAATTTTCTGTTGATGTCTTTTGCCCATTTTCCCCTATGGGATTAAAAAAATCTTAAAAGTTATTAACTAGGCAGAAATAGCTTTTAATAGAATTTACATTGACTGAAGGAAGAAACTTAAAGTACTTGTTGTAGATAAGTTATAGATTCTTCCCTCAGGAATTACAGTCTATGAGCTGAACACTCTCACAGTGGGTATAAGCATAAGCTCCAGAGCCAGACTGCCTGGGCTCAAGTGCCAGTGCTGCCACTGATGCAACCCATTTTGCCCTTTGGTGCCTCAGTTTCTCCATATGCAAGATGAAACATAATAGCATTTAACTTTGAAGATTGCTATGAGAATAAAATGACTAAATATATATATATATATATAAAGTTTTTTCAGCAGTTCCTGGATTATTGGTTATTTTACCAATAATAATAATATGGAGTCAAGAAAATGTTCTCCATACGTTATTTGATTTGATCGCAGAAGAATCCTGTTGTGTACTTAGTTACAAAAACAAGGAACTGGAATTTAGAAACATTAGGTGATATGGTATAATAGGAATTATAACCTAGTTTCATTCATTCATTTGTTCATTCATTCCATATTCATTAAGGTGCTGCTATGAACCACGCACTGGAGATACACCTTGATCAAGACAGATTTTTGAGCTCATAGAATTCGCTCTCTGGTGATGAAGGGATGCAAGTGTGGAAAGAGACACACACACACACACAAAATAAGGACATCATTTTGTCTGTCACTGGTGTCTTCAGCATCCATAGCAGTGTCAAGATTCATTTGTTAAATGAGAGAGTAAAGTAATGAATGTGCAAGTGGTGAAAGTGAGGCTGGATACACAGAGGTAGAACCTAAATCATGAAAAGTTTTGTCAACCATTCTGAAGAGTTTAGACTTTATCCTGAGCAGAGCAACTACAACATCACATTGGCATCAAAGAACACTCAAGTTTGAGGCTGTATGCAGACCCAAAGGAGAAGAGTGAACAGCTGGGAGGTTGTTACAAGAACTCTGGTGGGGGACGATAAGAGCCTAAATCAAGAAGGAGGCCGTGGGGACAGAGAGGAGGTGAGCTGGAGAGATATTGAGAGGGTAGAATTGACTTTAGCTGGTGTGGAAGGGAGGGTTGGGGAAGTAGTCTCAGTGTAACACTGAGGATTTTAGCTTGACAAAAGAAATTCACTGTGTTAAGAGATTAAAGAGGAATTGCTGACTAGGAAAAAATGGAGGAAGGCCTTTTAAACATAGGGATTTGAGGTGACCATAGGACCAACTCATTTTCTGGATTGTGCTTGCATTAGGCTTCTTTATACTCCTTGGGGTCAGGAGCTGTGGGCTTGACAAGGGCACTGTACTTGCCTAAGCGATAAAGTGTCTTGTAGAGGAAAAAGACACCAGTTAGTTGGCCACTTGGCCAGCAATGCAGCCTTGGAATCACATTAACTCCCTGGGGCTTCCTTTCCAGGAACATGGTGAGATGCACCTTAGTGCAGTTAACTGGTTAACCGCTAATTGTGTTATATACTTAGTTATAAAAACAAGGAACTGGAATTTAGAAACATTAGGTGATTTGGTGTAATAGGAATTATAACTTAGTTTCATTCCTTCATTCATCCATTTCATATTTATTAAGGTGCTGCTATGAACCAGGTACTGGAGCTATACCTTGATCAAGACAGATTTTTTGAGTTTATTCTGGATAGCTAATTCTTTGAGGCCAAAAATACTCAATTCTGCATCTTCTCTCCTTCTCAAGACCATGATATCTTGCATAAAGTTGCTAATGCAAACTATATAATTGTCTCAGGAGGTGAAGCAACACTAGGGACTTTTATAAGGAAAGAAAAGATTAAGGAAACGCGCGCGTGCGCGCGCGCGCACACACACACACACACACACACACGCACACGGTAAAGAAGACAACTTGGGGAGGAGGAGATAGGGATAAAAAGGAGGGAAGAAAAGGAGTTGTGAAAGCAAGCTCACATTCAGGACAAGACTTAACTAACTACTGTAGAGAAGAGATGTAAAGAGAACTGAGTTACTGAATTGGAAAGGAGGTACTTCGTTCTCTGGAGATCCGTTTTGTGTTTACAAGGACCAGCCCAGCTCTAGGGGAATGTGATATTGGGCTCAGGGAGGTGGGTGTGAAACTTGAGACGGTTGGGGCGCCCCTCAATTCCTCCTAGAAGTGGAAGGCCAGGAAAACCTTGCAGCAGGCGGGCCGAAGTGAGGGCACTGATGGGCAGGGCAGTGGGCGGGGAGAAGAAAGAGGAGGTGCAGGCTGGGGGTGGCGCTAGGACCTGCCGGCCGTTCCGCCGGTTCCCGGGAGGTTGATAAAGCGGCGGCGGCGTTTGACGTCAGTGGGGAGTTAATTTTAAATCGGTACAAGATGGCGGAGGGGGACAAGGCAGCGCGGAGGCAGCAGCCGCAGAAGGGGCTGCTACGCTTGCGGAGGACTGGAGACCCAAACGCCGAGGTTAACCACGTCTCGTCCACGACCTCTCTAGGTACTGGCTGGCGGGGCGGAGACCACAGGGCTTTGGTTGGGAGAGGGCGCGAGGTGCTTGGGCTCACGGGCACTGGACGCAAGCGGCGGGGTCGTCGTCTTCGGCTCGCTCAGTCCTCCTCCCGCCGCCGCGTCTGGCCTCTGGGCCTAGCCTCTGCCACGCCTGTGCTCCCGCCGCGCGCGACCTGAGAGGGCGGCCCATGGGCCGCGCCTCCCGCAGCTATCGGGTGAACTGGCGGCCCGCGCGTTCGCGCCCGGCCCCCTGCCCGGTCGCCCGCCGCGTGGCTTCGCCGTGCTCACCCCGACCTGAGGGGGCGGTCTTGAGCCCGGGCCTCAGGTCCCGGGCACTGGGAGGTCGGCGGCGGGGTCGCGTGGTGTTGGCGAGCCCTGGACACGGCGGGGCAGTCTGTCACTTGGCGGGCACTCGCTGCCCTTTCTTCCCTTCGTGGAGAGAGGGTAAGGGGTGGCTGGGGCGAGTTGGAGCCCCCGGAGGAGGATGCAAAGCGCGCGGGGAGAGCAGACACTTCACTGCCAGGTTTAAAGCTCTACAAACACCCTTCCAGATGGAACCGCAGCATCAGGCCGGGGCTTTGCTTGGGCGCTCCGGTCTCGGTGTTCCTTCTGTCCTCAAACCCGTTCGCGTGATTGCGCGTGTTTAGGGTTGCAAGTTCAGATTTAGTTGTCAAGCCCGGGATATGAGTCGTTTACTAACTAGTCACTGAGACGATAGTAAGGCCCGATCTGACTGAAAGTCTGGTGTGAAGTCACCTGATCCTTGTGGTTCCTTGGTTTTGCTGAATGTGAGCTCCTACTGTACGTGAACAAGGAGCGCCCTTGCCCCTTGAAAACGCTTTTGCTTTGGCAGCAGAGTGTTGTGTGTTCCTCTCACTCATAACACCACTATTTTTAGGAGTTTAGCATTTGATCTTTCACTGTGGTGTGAATTGAACTCATGAAATCCTGATTGAGAATTTTTTTGGTATTTAAAGACAAAGTTTTACAGAGACTTATAAATAGTAGAAGCTTGCGTTGGTAAGTACGCCTATGACGTAGATAAGAGTTTATTAAATACACTAAATATTATTTTGTTTTCAGATCTCTCCCTTTTCATGTCTGATAAAGATTTTGTGAGATGAGATTTAACACATTTTGATTAAATCCTAACACGAGGACACACTTTAATAGAAAAGTTTATATGAAATACACTTAATCATCATTGGTAGTTCGTGAAACTGTGGAACTTAAGTCAGAAGTGATAACAAACTGTAGGGTTTTACTACCCAAAAACCCACTGCCATCGAGTCAATTCTGATTCTTAGCGAACCTTTAGGACAGAGTAGAACTAACTGCCCAAGAGAGGCAGACTGCCTCAGCTTTCTCCCGCAGAGGGGCTGGTGGGTTTGAACCACTGACTTTTTGTTTGGCAGCCAAATGCTTTTAACCACTACACCACCAAAGCTCCAGAGTTTTGCTAAGGACAAAAAAAAAAAACGAAATAAAGCTTATTTTATTGCCTACCAACCAAAGCACTTGACAGAATGTTTACACCTCATAAAAAAAAACTGTCAAGGAAGTGACTTCTGCCTTGGACCTCTGCTGGTTGGAATTTTCAGTAGCTACTCTGGAATGCTAATAGTTTAGTTTAGCTTTTTGGGGCCTTAGGGGAAGGAGTTGTGTTTCTGCTCCCGCTTTCCCCAAGGTAATCATTTTAGATATACTTAACAAAATGTATCATGTGTTTCCCTTATTAGGAATAGCAAGCATAACTTTATGACTGTCATGGATGGTTATGAACATCGTTTTTATGTGATAATAGTGAGAAGAGATGAAATTTTTGAGACTGTTAATAAGTAGAGTCCACCGTTTATTAAATGCTTTGTTGTCCATAGGGAGCCCTGGTGGTGTAGTTACAGCATTTGGCTGCTAACCAAAAGTTTGGTAGTTCGAAGCCACCAGACACTCTGCTGGAGAAAGATGAGGCATTCTGCTTCCATAAAGATTTACAGCCTTAGAAACCCTATGGGGATTGCTATTAGTCAGGGTGGACTCCATGGTAGTGGATTTGGGTTTGGGTTATTGGCCATAGGTTTTTATCCTTTTTTTTTTTTTTCCATGTGACCTTCACTTAAGGTCCTATTCCTATCTAATTGCTGCCTAGAACACTCCTTCTCTCTGCTAATTTGCACTGAGGCATATATTACTACACTGAAAAAACAAATAAACTGGTTAGGGTTTGTGTTTATAGTAAGAGCAAAGAAGCTGTACTTGAGTGGGGACTGTAATTCTGGCTGAATAAGAAACTCTTTGTCTCCCTCTGCTTTCTGGAGAAGTAGTTGTAGAGCTGAATTCAGGGTCAGGTGTCACTCCAGTGTCTCTCTCAAGAGAAATGCTTCTCCTTTTAGGAATTTAAGATCCTCGTAAAACACTTAATCACTCTTACATTTTAATGACTTTGTAGGTTGGTAGGAATCTATAGATTTATTTAAATCTATCTAGTAAAATGATTTTGAAGTTCTTTGAAATTCTTTATTTCAGGGAGAAAAGGGCTGCCTCTAGTAAAATAATATCTACTGTAACTTTTTGATAAAGTTTTTGAACATTCACAAGTGAAAATGTTAGACCCTTTCCAAAATAATGCTTTTTCCATCTGTTTGGTATAGGTAATCTTAAACGGAGGCAGTGGTTAAGAGTAATTGGAAGAATTACCAATTAGTTTGATAATACTGAAGTTAAAGACATTTTTTAAATTGTAGGATTTAGTAGCAAGAGCACTTTAAAAACTTGTTTATGCTCAACTGGAAGAACTGTTTGACATACAATTGTAAGCAAAGCCATTTGGCTGGCTCTCAAAGTCAAGAGCAAAAGTCTTAAGGGATTGGAATAGAATTTAAACTTTTTTAAAAAAGTAATGGTGATTTATTATAGTGTAGCTTTACAGAAAGAGTTTTTTTTTTTTTCCCCTAAGGTGGGTACAAGGAAACAGTTCTTTCTCTCTCTCTTTTTTTTTTTTTTCTTACCCAATCTTTCTTTCTTTTTTTTTTTTTTTTTTTTTTTTTTTTTTTTTTAGGTTTAGTGGTATTCTGATTTTGTAGCCACTTTGGGTTTGGGTTTTCAAAGCTCAGGTGTGTTATTTATTTTCTGGAAAATTTGGGCATTGTTTAACTCAGGAGGATAGATGTGAATCCAGAATAACTGAAATTGTTACCACAATAGAGGTGTTATTCAAGTAACTTTTGTCTCATTTACTCTTCCTCACCTAAAGGTTGACTTTCTTTATAGCGTTACAAATGGATTGCCCGACAAACACCAAATCAAAAATAGGAAAGCAATAGTGATAACAACTGGTGCTTTATAAAGTACTTTGAATATCTCATTTTGATTTCATTTTTTGAAACCTTCTTATGAGGCAGTTAAAACATTATTCCCATTGGAGGGAGTGAGTATGACTTGCTCACAGTTGCAGAATTACTCAGTGGCACTCTTACTGTTCTCACCAGACTTGGAAGAGACCCGTCTCTGTTATGAATTCTCACATATAATTATAGAGATTGGGTGAAACGTTGTTGAATGAACTCTGAAATTATACTCATGAAGGAAAGAAAGATGAACCAGTTAAGTAAGGATAACGGAATAGAACATATGTAAAGTAGAAACCAAAAGGGTAGATAGATATGTAAAAGGATGGAGAATATTTAGTAAGTAGAACAATTCTGCTTGCTATGGATATGAGAAGTCTGAAGTGATCTGGAGGGCAAAGCCAAGGTAACTATTTTGCAAATGATTTTTATATTGCTAAACTTGGATAGAGTTTTATAAAAATGTGTTTAAGTAGTCACTACCTGCTCTGGGGCAAATGGTAGTTTTTTATGGGCAGATAATATCTACTAGACACAAAGTTTAAGTAATGAAAGATGATTTATACATCTGCTATTTCCCAAGGAGCTGTGTACTTCTGATGGACTTTGGGTTTGGTTCTTGGGCCAGTACAAGTAGAGTCTTGAGAATTCCCTTGCCTGACCTACTAGCTTAATAAAAATTATTCAAATTATGTTATGATTCACACTGAAAAACCAATAACTGCTAGCTGGGTATCCTGCTATCCAAGTTACTCTAGTTACTTGGTGAAATATATAACTGATGAAAAGTACTTATTTAGGATCCCAGTACCTTTCATCTTTCATTGCATAATGCTGTAATTGTGCAGGCAGTGTTTCTTTAATCATTGTTGTTGTTGTTATGTGCCGTTGAGTCGACCCCGACTCATAGCGACCCCTCCTTGGGTTTCCGAGGCAGTATCACTACGGAAGTAGGATTGCCCAACCTTCCTTCCGAGGAGGTATGTTAAAAACCAAACCTGTTCCAACTCATGGTGACCCTATGGATTACAAAGTAGAATTATCCATAGAGTTTTCTTGGCTATAATTTGCTCTTGGCTACTCACCTAAAGGTTGTCAGTATGAATCCACCTGGTAGCACTGTGGAAGAAAGGCCTGACAATCTGTTTCTGTAAAGATTACAGCCAGGAAAGCCTGTAGGGTAGCTCTTCTCTGTAACACATGGGATCTCCAAGAGTTGGAATCAACTCAGTGGCAACAGGTTTGGTTTGCATTTTAATCTTCATGGAAACAGATCTCCAGACTTTTGTTCCACAGTGGTGCTGAATGGGTTTGAAATGTCAACTTTTATGACAGTATTCCAGCACAAACCATTTTTACCATCCAGGAACCCTTAGAGGAAAGACAGTGTAGTAGAAAAAGAACAAAGAATTAAAAATGTGAGTGACTTTAAGTTGTCACATAAAGTAACTATTATTAACAAAACAAAACAAAAAACCTCAGTGCCCTGGGGTGGACTCATAGCGACCCTTCCTCGGGTTTCCGAGGCCGTATCAATATGGAAGTAGATTTCCCAGTCTTCTTTCTGAGGAGTGCCTGGTGAATTTGAACCACCAGCCTTCTGGTTAACAGTCACATGCCTTAAGCACTATGCTACCAGAGCTCC